CCCACGTCGTGTGAGCAGCAGGAGGCTGTGAATTTCTCTGCCAGAAAACCGAGGCGCCGGGCCCCGCCCCAAACTGACCTCTGGTTCTTGTGCTGCGGCCCGCTGGGACAGGCCCCGCCTGCAGCCCCGAGCGAGCGCGCCCTGGCCCTGGCTGCGCCTGCCTGCCGGCGGCCTTTGCTTCCACACGGTCGTGTGGGCTTCGAGCCCACCGGAGCCCAAGCGCCCATGAGGCCATTTATAGCCACTCCAGAGGCAAGTGCAGGCCGCCCTGCCGGCAAGTGACCGCCCCGGGCCGAGCGCCGGCCCACCTTGTAGTAGTCGTAGAGCAGGCCGAGCGCCGCGGCACTGTCCTCGTCGCCGTTGATGCTCATCATCGCCTTGGTGGCTGCCGTGAGGGGGTTCTCCAGGAAGGACTTCCAGGCCTCATCCTCGCTGGTGTAGGACCGCCGCTGCGGGTAAAGCGCCTCATTCTGGAGAACCAGCACCGGCCGCTTGCTTCCGAGGAATTAAACACAAAGGCAAGCGTGTGAGTGTCTGTGTGAGTGTGCAGGCGCGCACGCCACGCTGCGTGTGTTTCTACTGGGAGACAGACTCCTCCAAGATCCAAGCGGCCAGATCCTTGATGTTCCCATAAAATAGTCCCTCGCTTCATCAAAGACCCTCGTAAAGTCGATTAAGACGGAGCCGGGAGAGAAGCCACTGAAGCGCAGGCCGGCGGGAGCCCCGAGAGCCAGGGGCACTGGCAGCCAGAGCACTGCAGTTGCCCATGCGTGGGCACAGGCACACGAGGTGGGAGAGGAGAGACCTCCACGGAAACGCCTGGCTGCTCCCACACTTCCCCGAACAGACACAGGGACGCAGCCGGGCAGAGCAGCACACCGGCTCGTCAGACTCCGACCGCCCGGCCTGGCTGCGCGCGAGTCTGTCTCTCCATCTTCCTCCTGCTCACGGGGTGCTCTCTCCTCCGCGGGAGGTCAGGACTCAAGGAATTTCCGAGCCAGAGGAAAGAAGGAAGGGGCAGAAGGAAAAACGATCTTCCTTTAATCCTGGGGGTATGAGAGTAAGTTACAATATTCCCCTGATCGCAGGCAGATGGAGCGAGCGTGGAATGTGGCCAAAGGGGACTGCCTGCCTGGCGGTCAATCAGGAGGACAGGCACGATTTTCTGCCCAGGGAGTGAACTGTTTATCTTAGAGATAAACACTTCAGAATCTAAAACAATAAATGCAGCCACAGAACAAAATGATTTTTAAGAAAACCGGTGGGGTAATCAGTTTTTAAAAATCTCTACTGGTTTTCCCCACTGGGCAAGAACTGTCTCATTTGAACACTATCGTTGGTGGGAAAAATCCAGAAACTCAATGGAGATCCCAGCTAAGTCTTATAGATTTAGTTTAAAAGATTAAAGTAAACATTGCTGAAATGTCAACAGTCTCAACAACTGTTCGGTTGGTACTATGCAGTAAGTCAACAGGAGAGAAAGACCGAAACACTAACCACAGCAAAATGAAGCAATTTTTTAAAAAGAAAAAAATGTTTTTAATGTTCAGAACTACTCTGAATGATCACAATTTTCACAAGCAAAACTGAAGGACCTGTTCTCATTGCAACACACAACGAAATGTGTAAATGGCCTAAAGGTCACCTGCGGACTCTAAAAGTGAACGCAGAAAGACAGATTATCTTTTCAAGTAATCACCGAGGGTTGGGGCTTGGCAGCCACCGGGCCCTTTAAAAACAGACACAGAGTGAGAAAACTGCGAACATCTTTGAAAAGGGGGAAGGTGGATTCAGCAATTTAATGTCAGAGCCTAATTGCAAAGCCAACATCGTTACTCATGCTTGGGCCAAACTTCCTAGGAGCGGCTACTCCGTGGAAGCGAAGTCTTGAGCCGCTGAGCTATTCCAACACAAAACACACACCATGGGTTGCTCGAAGCAGACGGTCTGTTGAAAATGAAGACTGTTCACACAAATCCCAAATTTAAACCAAAACACAGCCTGATACAAAGAGGCATTCTCTGGGCCACCAGGCCTGAGTGTGAGCTCCTGAGTGACACCTGGATGATTCAGTGGAGCCCGGCGAGGCTGTTATTAATAGGGTAATAGCTGCTTCCAGGAGATTATGAGGCGCTTGGCTCCCTCCATCCCGTAGTGCTCGTTTTTCAGCTTCCCTTCTCCCACCCCCACCCTGAATCTGAGCAGGCAGAGAAAATGAATAAAATGTTTCTTGCAAGTGGCTTTGTTTGTGATCACCCTGAAGGTGTCTTACATTTCCAAAGTGTGCCTAAGGCCAAAATTTTAGCTTTGGAAATGCGCCTTATCTACATTTCGGGTCCAGAAACAAACTCCAAGCCAGGCGCCTCTCACCGAGTACTTCCTCCTGTGACAGTCAGGTGGACGTGGGCCCCCAAAGGCGCATCGTTGGCGCCTCTGGGCCCCAAACCCTTCCTCAGAGACAGTATCTCATCGATACATCAGGGAAACCTTATTTCAGTGACAGTTTTACTACATTCGCTCTGACACAAGAGGACACAAGACAATGGCTACCTCTCCGCCCCATTTACTCATCTGAAACGCACTGGGCTGGGAGCGGCTTATTCTTCGTAATCAAACTTTTCTTCTGGAACCACTCGACAGTCACAGACAAACTGAAAGCAGATGCAAACGATCCGTGGCCCAGTTTACTGTCACCTTACCTTACGACTGTATGTGGGACTCTTTCTTGAAGCACAAACCCAAGAGGCGACCCTGGAGTGTCTGGTTTTATCACCCCGATTTCAAAGTTTCACCCTCTTGCTATTTTCTGAACATTTTTAATTACTGTAATCTGTAATTACCATCAATGATGCAAGTGGCAAAATAACTCCTACAGCAATTTTCTCACTCGCACAGCCAGCTAGGGAAAAGAAAACGCCAGGCCACCCTTCAACTTTCCCCCCAATCTCCCCGCTGCGCCGGCAGCCGGCGAGGAGGTGCGCGGTGGTTACCTGGAGGGGCTCCCTTCGCGGCCGCCGCGCCCAGGTCCCAGCGGGCGCCCTTTGCTCCCCGGGCTCCG